AACACGTAATTTTCATACCTCCCACCACTCCATGCTCAATCACTCTTATATAGATATATATAGTATGGATATAAGAAAAAAAATTACTTTTATATAAAAAAAATAAAAAAATATTTTACAAAAAGTTACTTTTAGGTAAAAAATTCGAAGAAAAAAGAATTAAAAAGAATTTTAATTTTTGTTGTCCACATTATAATTTTTTTTCAATTTATAATTCTTTTCTCTTAATAATTCTAAACAAAAACTTAGATTTGAGAATTTTTTCTGTGTAGTTTTACGTTAATAATAATATTTTTTCAATTTAGAATTTTTTTTAATTTTTTTCTTCAAATTTTTTATTATTAATCAGTATTTTTTTAATAGTTTGAGATAAAATTTAATTTTCTAGTAATAATTCAATATATAAAATGATGAAAAAAGAACATATTCACTTCGTGCATAGAGAAATTTTTTTTTTTCATACCACATAAATTTTTTGAGCAAAATGATATATTGAGAAAATTGTTGCGAAAAAAGAATAAATAGTAATAAAATAATTGATTTTTTTAAGAAAAAACTACGTATACGCATTTTTAACACATACGTTTAATCTTCGTTTAACTATTTTTGATATTTATTTAGATCATCTGATATCTCTACGATATAGTTCTCAAAATGAGTTTCGAGATAATGTAAAACATTTATTGATTCGACTATCGTACAATCGTCGACGAATTTTTAAAGTTAACTTGTTATCAAAAATTTCGAAATAGTAATAAAATAATTGATTTTTTTAAAGAAAAACAACTTATGCGTATTTTTTAATACATACGTTTAATGTCCGTTTAACTATTTTTTATATCTATTTAGATCATTCGATGTCTCTACGATATACTTCTCAAAATGAGTTTCGAGAGAATGTAAAACATTTATCGATTCAACTATCGTACAATCGTCGATGAATTTTCAAAGTTAGCTTGTTATCGAAAATTTCGAAATATAGTTTGAAAATGCCTTCTTTGACGTCCCATAACATTTGCTATGATTGACCGTTTCACGCATCGTTAACGACCTGCAATACTATATCGCGAGTACTTCAAAATGATATTAAGAATGTAATATTTCGATTTCGTTTGATATCCCAAAAAAACATAAGTAAAAAAAAAATTATTTCTCTCTCCGTGCACGGAGAGCCATGGTCTCTGTGCACGTAGCCTTTGGGTCTCCGTACACGGAGTTCTTCCTTTTCCGTGCATGGAGACTAATGTCTCCTTGCACAGAGAGATTAATTTTTTTTTTGCTTGTAATTTTACGTTATAATTTTTTGTAATTTAAAATTCTCTTTAATTCTTTTCTCTTCAAATTTTTTACTTACAAGAAATATGTTGTAAAAAAAATTCTGTAGCATATTATCTATATCTTTTTTTAAATATAAAAAAAGTGATTTTTTCTTATATCCTACTATATTTATCTATATCGGAGTGGAGGGGGAATGTAAATTGTGTGTTCCAGTAAATTTGGAAGTAGTATATAACAAAATAAAATATATATAAACCAAACGGCGTCGTTTTTAACCCCCAAATAAAACAAAACAAAACAAAACAAAACAAAAATGTTACAGTAAAGATTGATCAAAATATTGTTACTTTTTACAGTGTCCTCACATTCCCTTTTTATATGGTCGGGATTACCGTTCAAAACATAAATTTTGCATAATAATAATATTAATAATTTTAACAACAAGATGGCGAAGATTGGTCCATCGTGATGGACAAGGCAGAGTACGTGAGAAAGGGGTTAGCCAAGAAAAGGTTGCATCCCGATGCATTGCTTGAGCGTGTGGGTGTGTATGTGTTGTCAGTGTGGATAAGGCTTTTTCCAGTTCATTGGGACAATAAACAAACTTAGAAAGCCTCTCCCTGATTGCATTATCACAAAACATACACCACACCCTATCCAATCATCACTAACCTGTCTTGTCTACCAAAAGATCAATTAATCTACTTGATTGTAGTTTAAATTGATAAATTATAGAGTGATATATGATATTATGTAATTTATTATGTACAATTTGATGTACAATGACAATCTCTTTTTTCAAAATTTATTTTCAATCACATATTCCGTCATAGAATAAATTTATGTGTATTTTTTAACTATATATTTTCAAAAAATAAGAATTTCAAATCTCCTTTCCCCCAAAAAATAGAGGTCAAACTTAAAAAGGAGAAATTACACCATTTCTATCAATATATTGCAATTTCTAGTCATGATCAATCAACATAAATTAAAAGCAAGTTTGAAAGTTATTTATAATCAAATTAACCTCCTGTTGGATTTCAATTTTTTCAAATTCATTTTTAACTATGAGTTTTATATGTCCTACAATTTTATAAAATTTTTAACAACATATTCATCAAATTTTATCAAAATCTACTAAAAATCACATTTTTAGCCAAATTAAATAGGGATTTGAATGGTAGATTTGGAGGTCCAATTTATAGAGATTGAATGGTTGTTGGAAAGACACAACCCAAAAATCAAATTGTTTCCAAACAGTCATACCTGTTTTGAAAACACTCGCTTACCGCTAGAGGGATTTTTTCCAATAGTCGACCGCTCACTGTTGTGAAAATTGATGGAAAGCAATATTCTTTATTGCAGTAAACAAAATGACAATACAATCTTACCTGAAAACTGATACAAACTTGAAAAGATCAAGAAATGGAATATGAAATGAATATTAGATCAATGCAACAGTTGAACTCTTTGTCTTCAAGACGAATTTGCCCCGTACAGATGCCAATCGAAAGTGTTTATAATTTAAACACCTTCCAAACAAGTGTTTTATGTCTTGTGAATTGTGATTCTATAAATAGTTTAAATTATAAATAAATAAAAACGAAAGGTGAATAGTACTTCTAATTTTTTAAAAATATGAGGAAAAGAAATGAAGTTGAATATTTTCAAATATTTTTTATTAAAATGAGNGGTGAATAGTACTTCTAATTTTTTAAAAATATGAGGAAAAGAAATGAAGTTGAATATTTTCAAATATTTTTTATTAAAATGAGCCAAACAAATGTTAAAATATCACTAGAAAAATCATTAGGTCAATAATTCAAATCCCATGATTTTTTGGTAAAAGAAAATTTAAAATTTGTAATTCATGCAGTGCCACGTGGAAGCACCGGGTTTGAAAGCACGACACCCAAGTCCTGCCTCTCCCCCACATACAAAAGCAACCATCATTCAATTTTATTAAACCCAGAAAGAATGTTTATTTTTTATTTTTTTATTTTTAAGGAATCGCTTTTTTGTTTTTATTATTATTTCCAGGACTCTATATATGGCTGCTGAGTTTAGGTGCTACACCACATGTGGTATTTCTTATCCTAACGTCCTTTTTGTTACTACTCAAAATCACAAACAGAAAAGAACTGCTTCAAACCATGAATATGGAAGAAAACTTTGTGAAATCAAAATTCAACCGGGTTTGTGTTTTCTGTGGGAGTAGTTCTGGTAAGAGAGAGTGCTATAAAGAGGCAGCAATTGAATTGGGGGAAGAACTGGTACCGGAAACTTGCCACTCTTGATTCTTTCACTGCATTTTCTTTTGGCACTCGTAAAATTTATGTTTGTTTCTTCTGTTTTTTGAGGCAACTTCTGTATTTTTGCATGAAGGTGGCAAGAAAGCTGGATCTGGTTTATGGGGGAGGTAGTATTGGTTTAATGGGCTTGGTTTCTCAAGCCGTTCATAATGGAGGAGGACATGTTCTTGGGTATTTCTATAAGTTTTAGCGACTTGTTATTACATGAAAATCCTATATTTGCATCTATCCTTTTGTTTTCTGAACCTGGTTTTACTTCATCACAGAATCATACCAAGACCGCTCGTGGGAAAAGAGGTACCATATGAGTTTGTAAATGCTGACCGTAAGTTTGTAAAGATTTCGTTTTTCACCAGTGTCAAGTCTATGTTGGCTTTTGCAGAAAACTGGGGAGACTATTGGGGAGGTGAGAATGGTGGCTAATATGCACCAAAGGAAGGCTGAAATGGCTCGCCATTCTGATTGTTTCATAGCATTACCAGGTTTAAATGCTTGCATGAATATATTTTTTAGTTTTTAAGATTCTCAAGCTTAAAGGGTTCACGATTTCTCTTGGTTTAATGGGTTTTAAACAGGTGGATATGGTACTCTAGAGGAGTTGCTAGAGGTTATAACATGGGCGCAGCTGGGCATCCACGACAAGCCTGTGAAACTCAATGAAACCCTTTTTTCTCCTTCGAAACATGAGATGATTTCAAGTGAAGTCTGATAGAATTCATGTATATTTGCAGGTGGGTTTACTGAATGTTGATGGGTACTACGACTACCTCCTCAACTTCATTGACAAAGCAGTGGATGATGGGTTCATAAAGCCTTCTCAGCGTCACATCTTTGTCTCTGCCCCCAATGCCAAAGAGCTCGTTCAGAAACTGGAGGTGTATTTTCACATAAATAGCAAAGACAATATCTTGATCTTTAAAGAAATAATCTTCACACTTTACCATCTGGACGCAATAAATAAACCTTTTTGTGGGTAGTGCTGATTTCTGTATTATTTTACTCAATATAGGAGTACGTGGCAGTGCAAGATGAAGTGGTTGTCAATTTAAAGTGGGAGCAGCCATCAGCAACACCACCACCACCATCTCCACCGCCACCAAATCAAGTGGGTTTTAAAGCCTTGCAGCAGACTAAAATAGGAGTTGCTCTATGAAGAATGGGCATTCTCAGTCACTACTTTTGGGTGTGGTTTACTAATTACTGACCTATACCATAATGGTATGTACCACTTAAACAAGAAGAGGCCAGATGGGATTAGATTATAGTAGTTTCTTCTTGTATTTTTTGGAAAGTGAATATAAAATTTGCGTATGTGATCTGACTTTGAATATGTTAGTATTTTAGTGTCAGATGCTGTAGGAAGGAACAAAAGGAATACAACAAACTAGTGGGCATGGCATCAGCTTTATTCAGTATATACCAGCATGCATGCATTACTTGACTAATTTGTAGTCTTCCTTTTTCAATGTTTTTGAATCTTGAGCCAGTGTTTAAGGAACCACCAATCAAACAAGATCATTTTATCTTTAGAATTCTTGAATTTAACCTCGTCATCATTCTTCTACAATGCAACTTAAGAGAGAAAAATGAAACCAATATTTCACATCTGTTAACGAGGTTTAGCTTGTAACATCGGACCCAAGTGACAATATCTACCATCTTGTACGAGCCATCACCTTATGGGTGGTTCAGTGATAATTCGGCTTCTTAAGGTCTACTCCCTTGTGGAGAAATAGTGCAAGACTGATGATATTCATCAAGAAGAGCACAAGCTTTGAAGTTCAAGTGAAAGTTGTAGGCACGTTTTATGTAAATTAGCTTTTCCAATCAAACATTCTTGATTTTTCTCGAAAATATCAAATAGTTTGAGTCCCATCTGTTTCAAGTGACTCATAAGCAGATCACTCGAACATCTTTATTAGAGAGGAGTGAAAGAAAATCCCCACCCACGTTGTTAAATCCATTTGATTCTGTGCCTTTGCCTTCACATGAAACTTTCTTCGCGTGCACCAGCTTGGATACCTAAGATCATCCTGCATCCACTCTGTCTGAGATTGCTCCTTAATCCACGTCATGTACGAGTTTCGTGTTCCTTCTCCAAGGTGTGAACATCGTGTTTGTTTTTGACAGTCTTTTAGGGACTTTTGGGTCATCTTCCCTCAGCCTTTTTCTACAGCCTTTTTCTACCTCCTGTTGAGAACAGACAAACAAGCTATCGTACAATTTGCTTTTGTATGCGATAGAAAAATAGCTTGATAAATCCGATCGAGATTTCATTAAAAATCCATTTCTCTTGGCATTATTGTGAAATGATTCGTTGAATGTGAGGCAATAAAATCAAATCATCAATGGTATCATACAAGTCTTGAAGGGCACTTAGCCTATTAGTCATTGAAGACAATGATGAGGTAATCTTGAAATATCTCACTCTACACAAATGCCCGTCTATTTAAGAAATGACAGGATACAGAGGCAATTTAGGGCCTGAAAAAATAAAATGATTTAGAGCATGAAAAAATGTGGATTTTTTGTAATATATATACTACCCCTAGCATAAACTTTTATCAGTCCAATCCTGGCTCCTGGGCTGCCATTTTAATCCTTTTCTTCTTGTAAATGACTCATATATTTTATATAATTGAAGCCACTTGCAGGATGTCATCAAATTTCACTAGTTCATTTCCACGAAATTTGCAAAAAATGAGTGCACAATTTTATTCAAATACTGTCTAAAATTGAAGAGCAAACCACCATTTCTAATCTCAGTACATGTATAGTTTACTAACAGCGAAAACCTCCCAAGGTTCATTAACAAAGATGACGAGTATCAGGAAAACACAAGGATCTTATTGACATAAAAAGTATTACTTCAAATAGACTGCATAAGGACTAAATGGACACTGCACATTGATGTTTCAAGGAACGTGAAATCATCACTGATATATGAAACTGCAGATGCTTTCCACTGATCCCCCAATGAGAGATTGCCAGACTTCGCAGAAGCAGGATTCACTCATGACTTATCAGCAACCTGCATATTCAAATTAAAATAAGTTGCTTACCAGCTACCTCCATCATAGGATATTACGAATAAGAATATTCCACAAAAATGGCCAATACGATCAAAAAAGAAACATGAACTAATCACGCGAAAGATCTAACTGCAATTAATGCGTTTTAGAAAGGATACTAGCACTACCCCTTTAAACAACACAAAAGCAAGGAAAAACCTCTATTCGTATGGGAATAACTTCTTTACATTTCTACACAAAGATAACATTACTTCTGATTTTTACAAATTATCTCAGAATGAAGATTTTGCACTCTACACGTGCTGGAAAAAAATATTCCCCAAGACTGCAAAGAGAGACCATCTAAGATCAACTTAAGAACAAGAAAAACAGAGTCCGTAATGTAAGGATTCCACAGATGTATAATATTTCGTACCCAGACACTATGAAAAACTATCCAGAAGAATGGTAGAGCAGAAAAAATAAATCTCTCTATTAACTTGCTATGTCAACCATTATACTTCCGTCATTACAAGAACATGTGAAGTAATGCAATGATATAACTTGGCATGTCAGATAGATAAAAACCTCTTCTTCCTGAAAGAAAAAAATGTTCTTAACAGTTAAATCAAGTTCATATAACATGGAAAATCTTCTCATTTTCTTCACCATTCATCACCGGCATATGTTAACAGATGATTCAGATGTTGGAATGGTTTTTATCATTCGAAATCTTGCCTCTAGGGCATCCAAATAAGTATTATAAAATACATAGACCCACCAGGATGGGCAAAAATGACTGGTGAAACCAACAATCTTGCACCATAATTAGCATTTAGAATCCCCATCCAACATTAACAATGGATCCTCACCAGTTTATGTCAACAGCCAAAGCATGTATTCATAGAACAGGATGGCCCAAATATTGCCAGTATTCAGTAATGAACCAAGCAGTAATCACATTTTTTCTTCTTTTTTTTAACACTATGGGAGCAGAGACGGGAAGAAATAAAGTCAAACATTAAATCGTGACATCATAATCATGTCTAAATTGCCCAAGGATAATTACAAAAAGAAAAAAAAAAAAAAAAAAAGGAATATTACATTAATGGATTTATTATTATGCCTTTGGTGGGGAATAAAAATGTCAAAGCCAACAATTAATTTTAACCACATATTTCATTCATCCTAAAATTTTAACCATACATCAACTTTTTTCAAAATCTACTAAAAATTTGATTTTTAGCTACACCAAACAGGGTCTATGTAAACCTTCCATTTCACAATGCATCTAAAAGACCTCTTACGATAATCATGAAGAAAAACAAAGTGCACCAGAATATTGCCGCACCCAGTCACCAAAACCCATTCAAAAGTCAACCCACTGGAAAAGAAGACTTGCGAACTGAGTTTGGCATGGAAAATAACACACAAGAAACCTCATTGGTTGCAATCTGTCATGCTCCAGCAAGTATGGTGGTTGAGGAGGAAATTTTGTATTGGAACAGAAAACAACAAAGGAAAATTATTATGCATTTTATAATCTTGAGCACCGCAAGTTGCAGTTTTTATTTGCGCCTCAGTCCACCGCAATGCAACAATCAAACAAGAGACAGAGACCCTACAGTACACTCAGTGATAGACAGAGCTAAAGCTGCCACCCATTATGATTCAACATGAACACCAGACAAAGATCAATAGCCACGCTGCAACTCCGGTAACTAATCAAAATATAATAACCAATATACATACTGTTGACACCGATAGTATGAAGTATTTTCCATCATATATCCTAAAGGAGTAATCTTTGCATTTCTGTACACGAATACAGCTGAAATTTTTATCCATCTTTTACCAAGTACTGTATGGTTCATTTCTGCTTTTGTTTTATGACAAAGCGACAAGACTAAATCCACCAATTTGCATTAAACATGTATATCTGTCAAGACTAGGTTATGCAGCCAGAACTGTTCACCACAAAAACTCCATATATATTTATCTTTTCATTATATTTGGATTTTGGAGTGACAGTGGAGGAATTACATGGTTGATATTACACTTCTTATCTAGGTTCAATTGAAAATAAAAAATCCACCTGGGTTTCAAGTCAAACTAGGTTTGCCTAAACTAGGCTGCCAATGAGTACTCTATCAATGAAATGTAAAGGTCATAGTTGTGGAACTAAACCACTCATAAGAGGTTCATTATCATATTAAACAGAACTAGGTTTTTACCTGGTTAAGTGGATTGTCGGGAGATTTCTTCCACAGCTTCCAAATCAAATCTTTGTATTGCGTGTGTGTGAGACCTGGCTTCTCTTCCTTCAACCTTGGAAGCTCAGCTTCTTCAAAAGCCTACAAACATATATATTAAGCAAACAAGGTCAAGCATCATTGCAAAAGTTCTCTTGAAGGGCTAAAAGGCAAACTATATGCACGTTCAACATGTGAAGGTTTTCCAACATATAAAAATTTGAGCAAAAATGTCCTCAAAATGTCGAGACAAATTTATAACACAAAGACCAATAATGCTTCAAAGAAGGAAAACTTTCAAAACTTTTAACGCATGGAAAAGTAAGAAATTTAGGCCAAAATGGAAGGTATCCATCATGAAAGATACCTACAACATGATTTAAGATTAATCACCTTCCTATGACATAAATAAATTATTGATTAATTGCTTTCCACTTTCTTATTTTTTCCCCCTTTTCCCAAACGCCATCATTCATTGGGAAGATGAAGAAGGTAAAGCCCCTGGGCAACAGAGAGAGGTGAAAATATAAAGAAAAAGCTTCCCCTCTTCTCCAGTAAGAGCAATTTTCAGAGGAACAGATGAAGTTCATCACATTCCTATTGTCACGCCTCACAAAAGAGTTCTTCTCTGAACGGAATTTCTAGCAGATTAATTGCTGAAGAGTTCTACGAAGTCTTTCACAATTTCCGTCAATTCAGAAACTCATCTTTAAAAACATATGTATTCTTCTTAAATAATATCAAAATACCAACTAATCTATTGGAATAAAATTTTTATCGGAAAACAGAGAAATGAAGAATGGATTTGTACCTTAAAAGAAGCCTTGAGCCGCCTCTCAGGGTGCCTATCAGGGGGCAAATTATCCGTAACTGCCATCTGTGCGATCGCATCTTCCACCGTCCTGGCCTCGATAATTGAGTCATCGCGATTAGTGTTCGCGACAAGCACCATCCTTTCATACTCTTCCTCGGCAGCGGTCCGGCTCTGCTTGCGCTTCTCCTCCTCGATCCGCTTCTGCATAGCCGCCTGATCCTGCTCCCTCCGCAGTTGCAGCTCGGCCTCCGTCACCTTCGGCACGGGGATGGACACCCGGTTCGCCTTTTTATCAACCTTTTTCATGTTCTTCTCGAGCTCCTTCTGTTCCTGTTCAGCCAAACGGCGCGCCTCAGCCTTTTTAGCGGCGAGCTCAGCTTTCTTCTCGGCCTCCTCCTCGCGCTTCTTGGCGGCGCGCGACTTAGCCCCTTCGGCTTCGCGCCAGTACTGATCTTCCTTCTCTCGGCTTTCGCGATCCTTGCGCTCGGCTTCAGTGGCGTTCCTCCGAGCCCTAGCTTCCTCCGCTTTGCTGTTAACTCCCATCTTTTTCGGCATCTTCACAAGCTATTTTCTGTGTAATTCGATTGAATTTACTTTCGAAAACTGTTTATGTACAAAAAGTGAACCGCCACCGACCAACCAAATCCAGGCGAACGAGAAGGAGATGGAATAATTCGGGGATAAGAAAGAACATGGGCCGGTTGTCATATTCAATGAGCCCAAAATAAGTTGGGGGCCGTTTGGCCGAATATGGCTTGCATGGATAGGATAACAGTGCCAATAGGGTGGTATATGGGTTGACCCATTCGGGGGTTCAACTAAACGGAAAAATTTGTAAATACATCATTTGAAAATATTATTTCAGGTTTTACTAGGTAACGTAAAATACTATCTTGATTATGAAATATATTAAAAATTAACTTCCAATAATAGAACCCAAAAAAGAAAATCAAATCAATAATATTAAAAAATTATCTTGTAACTGAAACGTTTTAATACTCCATCCTTCACGCCTCCCATTTAGCACCTCTTTCTAAAAATGAAAAACAATTCAAAAATATGACTTGGCTGAAGAAGAAGAAGAAGAAAGGCTTCTGTTGATTGACAGTACCCTTTTCCTATTGGGGAACCTTTCATAGTTAATAGATTGGCCATGGGGATATCTTTATTGGATGATTGCTGCACTCGACGGGATCATAGAAATCACCGTATCTACAACAAAAAATCTACATCTCGAAGTAGATAATTCCCACTCTTAATCAGTATATTTACAGTAATGTCTCAGATTTGGAATATGTTTTTCGTCTAATTTATATCTCACTCGTACATATGGAAAAAATTACGAGGATTTGTTTATATACACAAACTTTTGTTGAATTATTAGAAGAAAACAAAAGCAAAAAATAAAAAAAGATTACCTCGAAATTATTCTAAACATTACGCAAGTTTGGTGATAGATTTTAGAGTTTGAATGTCATACATTGTTCTTGTGATATGTCTCCATGTCTAAATACTACGCAACTTGTGAAATCTATAAAATTCGAATACATGGTTTGAAATCCTTGATATTAGAATGTGTTGACATGTGTTTTAATTTCTGATATGTCGCAAACTCACAATGGAAATTCTCTTGCATATTGACCAATACCATACGCGTGTTTTAGATACATAGTAGATGATGATACCAATATTGATATACTCGAGGACTTTATACGTGCTCCACTCACCTTTTTGCCATATATCCTCGGGTATTCTTGGTCCTCGAGGAAAACTCAAACGAGTATTGATATCACCCCATGGTCTTCGAGAATAAGTCCTCGAGACATATTCCATTGATAGATCTTCTAGACCTATGTGCCTAATAAACGAACACCTAAACACCTAAGAACTCTACATCAACTCTTACACCACTTATCTGACAATTCCACTACGAGTAGGACATTCCTTACAAACAGGATTCCATTGGATAAAAACATCCAACCAGTACAATCCTACTAGGAGTACACTTCCTTCCTCTATAAATATGGAGCCTTGGACCATCATTCAGGTACGTTTTTTCATTGTTCTCCAACTTATAGTCTCACGCATATAATTCCCTTTCTGACTTAAGTATCGGAGGGGCGACGAGAACACACCTCGTTGTCTTTGTTTCAGGTACCGAAAGACTATGATCGTGATCAACTCGAATCATCAAGCTCGAAAAATCTGCAGGTACGATTTTTGGCATTGGCGTCGTCTGTGGGAAACGCTACCAAAAGCCATGGTTAACACACGGTCAGGTCTTACTCCCCCAAGCTCATCCGCTCCCATCCCTCATCCTGCCGAAGATCAACTGGCTCCTGATGAAGAATCCTTGGGAGTGCTCGCACCTCTGCTAGCGGTCATTACAACCGAAGCCTTTGAAGAGTTCCGTCAGCAGGTGGCCACGCTTATACAACTGTTAAGTCAAAGAAATTCACATCCATCGTCAGTGCAGGCGGAGCATGGCAGTTTTATGGCTTATGCTCGAGCACGACCACCAAACCCCGCAAATGGCTAGTAGGAACCTCGGGTATTCATAATATGGCCTCGGGCTCGAGATCGGTCGCCATGAATTCCGGTGAAATTGCCCGGATCATTCAAGAAGGAATTACAGCTGGCCTGCAACGTAATGCTCGGGGGCCAACAGGTTTCACCCCCAACACTCCATTCACGCCAGAGATATTGACATATCCCTTGCCCGACAAATTCAAATATCCTCGCATTAAAGAGTATGATGGGACGACCGACCCCATCAACCATCTCAATTTATACACTGATATCATGAACTTGCAAGTTGCGCCGGATCAGGTTATGTGCAAAGCCTTTCCACAAACGCTGACTAATGCTACTAGGGATTGGTTCTCAACATTGGAGCCCAACTCCATAGCCTCATTCTCAGATTTGGCTGATAAGTTCTCAGCCTTCTTTGCAAGTAGTAAGCGAATCAGGAAGATCGCGGCCTCTCTAATGCAATTTCTCCAGGGACCAACCGAAATCCTACGAGGATTTATGACAAGATTTAACAAGGAAAGAATTCAAATACCCGACCTCCATATCACAGCAGCTGTCTCCGCCCTCACTTACATCGTAAGATGTGAAGATTTCAAGATGTCTTTATCAAAGACCCTGCCGCAGACAGTGACCAAGCTCCTCACCCGAGCTAAAAAATACATTAATATGGAGGAAACACTAAATCCAAGGAGACCTGTTCCTTCCCATGAAAAGATCGAGAACAAGAGGCAACATGATCCCGTCCCCCGACATGAGGTTCCCTGGGATAAGCGCAGGAACATGGCGCCATCAGCACCTCTCACTCGGTTGAACACCTCTAAGACAAACATTTTGATGGAGGTTAAGGATATGAAAGAATTAAAGTTGCCTTCAAGGATGAAGTCGCCCCCTGACACAAGAGATAGGAGCAAGTATTGCGAATTTCACCGGGATCATGGACATACTACAGAAGATTGTCATGCTGTACAGCGAGAAATTGAAGCCCTTATCAAAAGAGGATTTTTAAATAATTACATTGGTCATGATAAACAGCCAAGGAATGACCGTGACAATCGGAAAGAGCCTGGGGCTGGAAGCAAGGCTCAACCCACTGCTGAAACCATTAATATTATTGTTGGGGGCATAGCATCCAGCGGAGACACAAGTAGTGGGCGAAAGCAATATGCTCGCCAACATGCTCATACCCCAAGAGAATCTAGTGATGAAGTTAAAGATATCACTTTTGGTGCAAGAGATTTGGAAGGAATATCATATCTTCATGACGATGCCTTGGTCGTTTCTGCGGTTGTGGCTAACTTCGAAATAAGGAGGATTCTTGTTGATAATGGGAGTGCCGCTAACAAACTGTCGCAAGAGGCTTTCACCAAAATGGGAATCTCTCCCAAATAGCTCAAAGTAGTAAAAACTCCCCTACAAGGATTAGGTGGTGGAGTCATTATCCTTGAAGGCATCGTCGAGCTCCCGCTTACATTAGGAACTAGTAGTACACAAGTGACGGAGATCACACCATTCCAAGCGATTAATACCCCGATGGCCTACAACATTATTCTGGGAAGACCCCTACTAAACAAGATCTAGGCTATTGTATCAACTTTCCACCTCGCCATGAAGTTCTCCATAGGTCATGGCATTGGAGTAGTTCGAGAAGACCAAACAGCGGCTAGATAGTGCTATGTTACAAGCATCTGAGGCACGAGTGCTGACGTCATGCAACTCGCAGATCTCGATCTCGAGCTCGAGCCAAGGGATAGATTGGCCCCCGTTGAGGAGTTGGAAGTGGTCGAGCTCGAGCACGAAAAAGTCGTTACTATTGGTAGGAACCTCAAGGCCAACCTCCGGGAGGAAGTCATCAATTATCTGTCCCGAGACATTGATGTTTTTGCATGGAAGGTGGAGGATATGTCAGGGATAAACCCAGAAGGGCAATCTGATGAAGTATCATCAAATGATTGTACAAGGAAGACGGAAGGTAGGTTTTAGAAAAAAGAAGGGAAACAAATGATAAATAAAGGAATTTTGGTCAAATAGGATTATTTTCTTGTCGGGACCTTTTACTTTTTTTCCTCATGTGGGAGTTAGCATTAATTCCCGTTTATCTACTTCTATCAATGTGGGGAGGAAAAAAACGTCTGTACTCAGCTACCAAATTTATTTTGTACACAGCGGGGGGTTCTGTTTTTCTTTTAATGGGAGTTCTGGGTATCGGTTTATATGGTTCTAATCCAATTTCCAAAAAAAAATCCCAATCGTGTCGAACTTTCCATTTTTGGAATAGAATAATTTTCCTTGGTTAACAATAATTGTTATTTTGCCAATATCTACGGGTTCCTTAATTTTCTTTCTTCCATATAGAGGAAATAGGGTAATTCGTTGGTATACTATATGTATATGTATTTTAGAACTTCTTATAACGACTTATGCATTCTGTTAGAGGAATACATAGAGTTGAACATAGTAAAATAAAAAATTGAAAGATTTCGTTGAAATTGTTCGTTTGGAAATTTCCCGAAAAGCTAATCATAGGTTCTTCTCTCTATCCCGATCATGATTTTCCTTGCCCAGAGGGAAAGGTACTTCCCTTTTGTTTTGGGCCGGTTGTGGGCGAAGAAGCCCATGCTTCCTTTGTTGAAATAAGGACAAATGGTTTGATTCGACATTTCCTAAGAATCGACTTAGTGAAATCTCCTATTTCATATATCGGAAAAAGGAATGATCCATCGGGTTCAGGACCTCCCTTATTTCTTTTCTATTGCAATTTCTGGATTATTATATGATGATTTTTGAACTTTCCATAAATAGAGAAGAAATAGAAAGAGATAGACTAGAAACGACATCTGTTATGTCAATAGTAGTAATTAGTAAAATAAAAAGACTTGTACAAACTATTGAAATAAATCCATCCCCTAGCTGTCCATAAACTCAATATCAGCCCAGGGGCCAGACCTGTTAAGCAAAGGAAGAGGTAGTTTGCGCTGGAAAGACTTGTTGTCATTCAGGAAGAAGTCGGCAAATTGTTGGGAGCGGGGTTCATAAGGGAAGTCCAATACCCCGATTGGCTCGCTAATGTTGTTCTAGTGAAAAAGGTCAGCGGTAAATGGAGGGTCTGCATTGACTTCACAGATCTTAATAAGGCGTGCCCAAAGGACAGCTACCCGCTACCAAGGATTGATAATCGGGTGGATAGCACATCCGGACATAAATTGTATAGTTTCTTAGATGCATTCTCAGGGTATCATCAAATCCTCATGGTCAAAGAAGACCAAGAGAAAACCTCATTCATGGCTGAGTCAGCCATCTATTGCTATAGCGTAATGCCATTTGGATTGAAAAATGCTTGGGCGACATATCAGAGGCTCATCAACAAAGTCTTCGCCGATCTGATAGGGAAGAATATCGAGGCCTATGTGGACGATATGGTTGTAAAGAGTAAGAGGGTGGAGGAACACATATCCGACCTAGAGGAGGTGTTTGTCACCCTACGAAAATATAAGATGAAGCTCAACCCGGAGAAGTGTGTATTCGACTTAGCTTCAGGAAAGTTTCTGAGTTTTATGATCACTCATCGGGGGATTGAGGCCAACCCCGACAAGATTCAAGCTCTGGCAGCAATGGAATCACCAAGGACCAAGAAAGGGGTTCAAAAGTTGACAAGCAGGGTAGCCGCCTTAAACAGGTTCATGTCCCAAGCAGTAGACAGGTGTTTCCCCTTCCTCAAAGCCCTCAGGGGTAATCATTGTTTTGAATGGAATGAGGAGTGCGAGAAGGCTTTTCAGGAGCTCAAGCAGACATTGGAATCTCCTCCGATCCTTACCAAACCCGAGCTCGGAGATACTCTGTATTTGTACTTAGCTGTATCTCAGAATGCAGTGAGCGGTGTCTTGGTGAAAGAGGTTAACATGGGCCAACAAGCCATTTATTACGTAAGCAAAGTACTACTTGATGCAGAAATAAGATACACTTTGGCAGAACAACTTGCCCTTGCACTGATAGTGGCAGCACGAAAACTCCGGCAATATTTTCAGTCACATTCTATTGTAGTGCTCACCAATCAGCCTCTAAAACACATTCTTTAGAAACCAGACGTTTCAGGAAGACTACTGAGGTGGGCAATTGAACTTGGAGAATTTGACATAGAATTCAAGCCCCGTCCTTCTATCAAAGCTCAGGCCTTAGCTGACTTCATTGCAGAACTCACCCTAAGGCCTCGGGGGCCAGATGATAGCTTGAGCTCGTCCACAAGCATGTGGCAAATTTTCATAGATGGAGCATCAAACTCCTCAGGCTCGGGTGCAGGGGTCATAATCATAAGCCCGGACGTGTTCATAAACATTCAGTGTGCACTCAGGTTCGAATTTGAAGCAACCAATAATGAAGCAGAGTATGAGGCCGTCATCATAGCCATGGAACTCGCCATTAATCTCGAGCTAGAAAATATCAAAATTTACAGTGATTCCCAGTTGGTGGTTGGATAAATTGAAGGGACGTTCGATAGGAAGGATGAGAAGATGAGCTTATACTGCTTGAAAGTACATGATCTCCAGAGAAAGTTCAGGAGTTGTGAAATTGTGAAAATTACCCAGGCTGAGAATTGTAAGGCCGATGCCTTGTCAAGATTGGTGTTCATGGGAATAGATGGGCTTGACAGAACAGTCCATGTTAGAATTGTAATCGAGCCAAGCGTTAATCAGACCGTAGGCATCATAGATATTGATAATGAGCCATCATGGATGGACCCAATAGTTTACTTCATAAAACATGACAATCTTCCAGAAGATCTTCGAGCAGCAAGAAGCATCTGGTCCAAAGCTCCGAGGTATTACATGATTGAAGAAGTTTTATTTCGCAGGAGCCTCACACTTCCGTACCTTAGGTGCCTTAGACCTTCCGAATCATCATAGGCCCTAGAAGAAGTTCATGAAGGAATATGTGGGAACCATCAAGGAGCTCGGGCATTAGCCTTCAAGCTCATAAGGTATGGATATTATTGACCAACCATGAAAAAAGACGCCCAGGAATATGTCAAGAAATGTGACAAGTGCCAAAGATTTAGCAATGCCATCCACAATCCCGCAGAGGACCTTACTAGCATCAGTTGCACAGCCCCATTTGAGCAGTGGGGAATTGACATCCTTGGTCCCTTTCCAATTACCAGGGGGCAATTGAAGTTTGTGGCTGTGGCTATGGCTGTGGCTGTAGAGTACTTCACTAAGTGGGTGTGGCTGTAGAGTACTTCAGAGCCTAAGTTGAGAGGTTTCATTTGGAGATCCATCATATGCAGGTTCGGGATACTGAAAGTCCTCATAACTGGTAATGGCAGGCAGCTTGACAATGCACAATTTAAAAACTTCTGTTCCAACCTAGGAATCGATCATCATCTGACGTCGATTTCCCATCCTCAAAGTAATGGCCTTGGCCGAAGTAACCAATCAGATTATATTACAAGACCTTTGTACAAGGATCGGAGAGGCAAGAGGTTCCTGGTCTGACGAGTTACCCTCCATACTTTGGACATATAGAACGTCCCACAAATCGCTACAGGGGAAACCCCCTTCATGTTGCCTTTCGGTATTGAAGCCACCTTCCTTATTGAAGTTAGGTTGCCTAGCCAAAGAAGACTTGAGCTCAAAGATGCAGGGCGCACCATTGAACACCTCGACCTCTTGGAAGAAGTTCGCAATCAGGCAGCTTTAAGAATGGCCTCTTACCAAGATAAAATAGCAAAGTATTTCAATAAAAAAGTGAGGACACGAAGATTCAGGGCCAGAGAACTTGTGTTAAGAAGGGCCGAAGCAGCAGGTCATGCTCCGGGCAAGCTAGGACCAGTTTGGGAAGGGCCCTTCGAAATCATACGACAGCTTCAAAGAGGTGTGTACAGTTTAAGGGATACATCAGAAAGATCACTTCCAAGACCATGGAACTCCGAAAATTTAAAAATATATTACAGGTAATCAATTTCCAGTAGTCAGGCCTACATGTTAAGGTTCATGTTTTCAATTCTCGGGCCTGCGTGCCAAGTCTTATTTTAAAAATATATTACAGGTAATCAATTTCCAGTAGTCAGGCCTACATGCTAAGGTTCATGTTTTCAATTCTCGGGCCTGCGTGCCAAGTCTTATTTTTGTTTGTCAAGCCTACGTGGCAAGGTTCACGTTTTCAGTTGTCAGGCCTGCGAGCTAAATCTGTTTTCAAAATACAATAAGAATTTAGTTATTCATTGAAATTTGATCCCACTATCAAAAGCCTTGCCCCACGCAAGCACCCAAAGTCTTGCCCTGCGCAAGCACTCAAAGCCTTACCTCGCGCAAGCACCCAAAGCAGCCTTCTCCCGAGCAAGCACCCAAAACCTTACCCCGCGCAAGCACTCAAAAAAGCCTTCACCATACAACATA